TTTTTTTTTTTTTTTTTTTTTGTATATTTTTTGTGTTTTTTTTTTTGGATTTTTTCAATTTTCATTTTACATTTTATCGTCCTTACTTGCTGCTAGCGCGCTTCGTTTGCTTTTTCTTTTTATTATTTTTATTACATTGTTTATCTTGTTGTTGTTGTTGTTTATTTGCATTCTCATTAATATTCTCGAATTTTAATTTAATATAGTAATTAATTAATTTTTAAGGAAATGGAAGTGGATGGATATATTATTTGCCCTTTTTATTCGATGCTATTAGCGGTGCATTGCGTTGTGGTGTATTGGGTCGTGACGAATTCATGCCGCTGTACAAGTATTTCGCCTTCTTCTCCGACGGTTTGAGAATCTACGAATAGTATAAAAATTAATTAAAAACCAAACATAATTTATTTGTTTTTATGTATGTGTGTACCTGGAACGAGCACATTAACGTATCGTCCACAGTCATCATGCCGCCTGCATTGTCGAATTCGCCACAGTAATTTGGCGCCGAGAAGAGCGTAACCAGTTGGCGGCGAGCAAAGAATTCGTAGCCGTCTTCAACGACCTGAAAGTGAACAAAAATAAATGATTTTTAAACATTTTTAATAGAAAAACAAATTCGAAATTCTTCGATTTCGAAAATATTTGCTATATAACTTTCTTTGAAAATATGTATTTTCATGATTATATTCAAAAAATAAATTCAAATTACCAAAAATACACAGGGGAAGCAAACTTCGCAAATATTCGAAATACAATTTTCTTAAAATATACATATGTATTTTTATATTATATTCAAAAAATAAACTCAAATAACAATAAATTAAGAACTTCTTCGAAAATAGATGTAATTCAGTCACCCATGCTTCCAATTACATTGCAAAAGCACACCTCAACAGCTCAATGAACCCTAAATACAAATTTTTCCCCAATTTTAGAATTTTTTTTTGATTATTGCTTAAAACAAAATTTTTAATTTTCGATATTCTATTTTCGAAAATACTTAATGTGATTTACTTTTATAAAAATAGACACAAGTGTGATTAACATTATATTCACTATAAGTTTACTCCAAAAATAAATATATATGTACATTTATAAATTCAAAATTTTGAAATCTTTCGAAATTACAAACAAAAGTAACCAATTTCTTTTTTTTAATTTAATTTTCGAATTTTTTTTACTTATTCGAATACTTGCTTAATATAAAATTTCATGCACCATTTGCAAATATTGAACAAAAAACCTAATTTCGAAAATTTTCGAATATCCTTTTCAAATCCTAATGTATTAAATTTTTGAAATTTCGGAAATACTTAATGTGATGTTTATATAGACAAATGTATCATTATCAAATATCAGCTCATAATTCAGTACTGAAATGTATTTCGAAAATTTTTTAAAATTCTGAAATCTTAAAAAAATTTAAAACGAATATTTCGAGATAATTTATCTTCTAGATATTTAAAGAAAAAAGAAACCCCAGAAAAAGTAAAATTCCCCTAAGAAAAAGGTTCGATTATTGTGTAAATCTATATTCGAAAAATTCGAAATTTGAAAAACCACATACTTGATGCGCTCGACAAATGAGATCCAACTCGTGCCGATGCAAGAACTTCGACACCACATCCACACCGAATGTGAAGCTTACACCACGATCATTCTCGCCCCAACCTTGCACATCCTTGTCCGGATCACTCCACAGCAAATCGCACAAAAGGCCGGTATCGGGTACATCTGTTGGACGCATAAGGCGACGTATCTGTTCCATGCCCTGCAAATCGGGACTCAGACCACCGTGACAACAGAAGATCTTCTCATCAATAATAGCGGCAACAGGTAGGCAATTGAAGCAGTCTGTGAAGGTTTTCCACAATTTCACATTGTAGCGGCGTTTGCACTCGTCGTAAAAGCCTAGAAGGGAATAAAATATTGTAAGTCAAAATTTTAAACTCCTATTTATACGTTTTAATTACACGCACCATAGATTCGATTAATACTGGCGCACTCGTGATTGCCGCGCAGCAAGAAGAAATTCTCGGGATATTTGATTTTATACGCCAAGAGCAGGCAGATGGTCTCCAACGATTGTTTACCCCGATCCACATAATCGCCAAGGAATAAATAATTAGCGGCTGGCGGAAAGCCACCATATTCGAACAGACGCAATAAATCTGTATATTGACCGTGTATGTCGCCACATATGATCAGCGGTGCCTCGAGTTCCAGCAGTATGGGTTGTTGTAGAAAAATTTCACGTGACTTCAAGCAAAGGCCGCGTACTTCGGCTTCTGACATTTGTACGGATTTGCCGGCACGACAGCTGCGCACTGAAATTTGTAAAAAGAATAAATTTTTATTATTTTATTTAAAATGTAACAGTTTTTAAAAGCACAGATACTTAGGTATTTTAAGAAGCGATAAGAAATGAGGGAGCGAGTACACTGAGGTAGAGACAGTTTTATTTATTTAGTGTTTAGCGATATATGGAGTAGAAAGTTGTCGTTGGTGGTTTGTGAGCTTTGTAGAGACATAAAAACTGAACATAACCAAAAATGGAAAATTTTGAAATAACAAACTTCGAAATTTTTCGAAATTAATATTTTTTTCCGATTGAAAAAAAAATTCATTAAATAACAGACTTCGAAAATTTTCGAAATTAAAACTTTTTTCTGATTGAAATTTGTCAAATAAACTTTATAATTATAAAGTAAATTACGAACTTCGAAACTTTTCGAAAATACAATTTTGAAAATTCCTAAATTGAAAACCTGGAACATACATACAAAGCGTATTTTAATTTTAGATTGAAAGTCTACGCTTAAAAGTCTATTTAAAAAAACTACCATAAATAACTAACCTCCAAATGATTCGAAAATCGATAAAGCGAAAACAAAAACAATTAAATTAAAAAATATTTGTACGGAAATTGGCGCTTCAAAGTCTATTAAATATCAATATTTATTAATCTATTTTTTTCGAAATTAAACATTACTCAAAATTTTGAGTTTCTGTTAAACAAAAAAAACAAAAAAGAGTTTTCGACTGAATTGTTTAAACACAAAAACATTTTAAAAAAAAATAAATAGATAACTTGCATGGAAAATAAAATTTTGAAATTTTCGAAATAAAAAAAAGTATGTTCAAAATAGCGAAATTTTACGTTTTCATTCAAAGTTTTCGCATATAAATGTATCAAAAACATAAATAATTGGCTTCAAAAATGTTCGAAAAACAATTTTTTGTTTTCGAAATTAAAAATTTGTGTTTGAAAAACATAAATTATTAACTTCGAAAATATTCGAAAATAACTTTTTTTTTCGAAATTAAGAATTTCTCAAATTAAGTGTTTAAAAATAAATTTTCGATGAAAATTTTATGTTTGAAAGTTGATTAAATAAGTAAATAAATAACGTCGAAGGTTTTCGAAATTAGAAGTCTCATTTATTTTAGCAATTACAAATTTTCAAGCCTTATGAAATAGTAATAATACTGTGAAAGCACATTTTATCAGGTGTTGAACACCTACAAGTAAATATAGAATTATAGTATAGTTTTCTAGCGCCAACTGCCTGCAGCATTTCGGTTTTTAAGTATACAGTTTCATATTTTCATATTTCTAGCAAAATTCCAATAAAATGCGTAAAATCCTACAAAAGAATGTTGTAGAAAATATTTTTTGAAGTCAATTTAATAACTTCGCTAGAATTCCACGAAGTTCACAACTGTGGGCAGACATAAAAGCGCATACAATAACATAACACGTCTTGGCAACAAAATGGTTCTCAGAATTCAAGCGAAGCCATTGTTTACACATAAAATATATTTAGACAGCACCAAAGGCTGTTTAGTATTTTTAGCAATTAAAAAACTTCAAGTAATTGCTTTTTCGAAGTATTTCAGTTTAGGTTATGTAAACATATGTATGTATGTCTGCATAGTTAAAACAGAAATAAAAATTTAATTCCATTGCAACTTATGCAAGCGAACTCATAAAATATCGTGAAAAGAGCAAACTCACAGCGGGAATTTTCAGCCTGCTTTTAGCCAAGCATTGCTTTTGTATAAATAAAGTGAGGTTATGCGCTATTGAAGTATATAAACAATGCATAAAAATTCAACGGAATATTTAGTCGATAAAACACAATTTCGAATTAAATTTTCAGCATTTTTATAGGTTTGCTTTTACTTTCTTCTCGGATTTTGTTTTCAGATTTTTTTAAATTGTTGTAATTTTGTTTTTGGTTTTCGAAACATATGTAAGTGTGCCTCTGTTGCAATATCCGCATTGGTACAACAGCCTGCAGTGAAATGTTCACGCGTACAAATTTACACGCATACCTACATATACAACCTGTCTACTGTTTAGATTCTGAATAGCGTGTATCTAAACATCCATTTTTTCAACATAAACAACAGTAACAATCTTCATATAAAGGTATTACAAATATGCAGGTGTTAACACGATTTTGACGGTATTTTATAAATTACTTTATAAATGAAGATACAATTTAAATAAATAATACGACTAAAATTAAATAAAATAAATGATTAAGATAAGAATATGGGATAGAAAAAAATAAACAAAATTTAATTCAATACATAAAACTCAAAGATGATTTTAAACACAATATAATTTTAGAAATAAAATTAAACTGAAACCAAATAAAAAATAAAATTAATAAGACGAAATTTTTAATTTCTCTAAATTAAATGGTTCTGTTTAAAAAGTTTCCAATGGAAGGTTTGTGTTTAAAAGTTGATTAAAAATTAAGTAGCTAATGTCGAAAATAAAATTTTGAAATTTTCGAAATAAAAAAAAATAAATTAAATTAAATAAGTTTTCGCTTCAAAATGCATTAACAACACAAACAATCAATTTCGAAAATATTCGAAAATAATTTTATTTTCGAAATTAAAAATTTCTCAAAATTAAGGGATTCTGTTAAAAAAACAGTTTCCAATGGATGATATGTGTTTAAAAGTTGTTTAAAAAAATAAATAACTAATATCGGAAATAAAATTTTGAAATTTTCGTAATAAAAAAATTAAATTAAAAGTAGCGAAATTTTAAATTTTGATTAGCAGTTTTAGCATCAAATGTTTTTAATTAATTAATGAACAATTTCGAAAAAATTCGAATAGCAATTTTTTTTTGGCAGATTAGCTCTAGGAGCTACAAAATGCGTCATTGTGGAAGCCGCACAGCGTAGATGGCATAAATACATAATAGTAGTGTTGTTGACGATTTTAGATGAACGAAAAGCCTTCAACAGCGCCAAATGGGTGGATATAAACGAAACTCTCGAAAAAAGCTTTAAAATCCCCCGACTACCTCAGAGCTATGGTGCGAAGCCTGGACCCCAGAGTAACCTTCTGGGTATAAATTAACAACGCGACTAGGAAAAGCAGCGAAAATGACGTCCCAACTCAGCAGACTAATGGCCAACATAGGGGGCCCAAGCCAAGAAAAGGGAGAAAGAGCTCCTAATGTCGACGACAATTAGAGAGTATAATTTATATATATATACATAAAATATATATATATATACATATAATATTATATAAATTTGAGTTAAACAAAATGGATTTAAAATTAATTACATTAAAGTATAAAAATAAGAAAATAAGAGGAATTGAGTAAATGAAAAGCAGTTTTTTTAGTGTCTTTAAATGAAACTAAATTTCGAAACAAAAATTAAAGCGAATGAAATTAACGTCATTTACCGTTTCACTCTGCAAACATTTTTTATTTTATTTAGTTTCTTTTAAACATTACAGTTATTTCCCAAGCAACAGTGAAGTTTAGCAACAACAAATTCAACAGCGGACACCAAAACAATAGAATGAGGCACAAATAATATGACAAAACGTCCTCAAATTGTATAGAAACCGAGTGTCCCCTTGGACAGGAAGCACAACAAAACACAAAACTATATGGCGGAGGAAGAGAATGGGGGGGAGGAATAAAGGCCAAAGCACCACAAGCGTACTCCAGAGCTACTTTAGTGTCATTCATTAAATTATGAGAGCCAAGTGAGGTCCGCGCTTGTTCATGAGAACGGAAGCAAATAAAGAATTGTGAGAAGGAAAGTGCTCGATGATCGGCATGATTGAGCGCCTAAAAGTTGGCAGCGTGCGCAGAAAGTTGAAACTTTTGATCAAATATTAATTAATTAGTAAACGTGTAGTTGCATAATTATTAATTATTTTGCATGAGTGACATTCAATGAACAAGTTAGTTGTTTAAAGCATACTTTACGGCAAGTAAGCTTGCCAGGTGTAACTAGCGAAGTTATTTTTGGTAGATTATGTAATAGAAATAATTTTTTGTTGAAACTAGGCGGTGCTTTTAAGTCATGTGTGCAAAAAAGTTACACTGTGTGAACAGCAAATCTATATAAATACTATTTTCTCCTAAATGTATGCTATAATTATTTGCTGCAGGCTACAAAATACTCCGTCGCAGCTGCGATAATGAAATTATATTGATTCATTGCCCTTTGCTATGTGTTATCAACTACTTGAGTGCACTTGGCGCCTGAAGATGTGCAATTAAATTTATATTGCGCAAATAAATTGCTTTACAAATGTCTATAAATCAATTGTCATATATAAACACTTGTATGAGAGAATTGAACAGGAAAGCAACAAAAATACATGCTTAGCTGTTTATTAAATTTAAGGTGCCTAAAGGCAAACCACAACAAAAACATTGATGAATATATGAGAATGGCAATCAATATTTTAAGGGAAAAAATCCGGCAAAAAAGCGCAAAATTCTTAAGAAAATGCAAAAATAAATAGAAAAAGAGTTTAATTAATTAACTAGTTAATTAATAATAATAATAGTAAGTTCCAGAATTTTACATAAATATTTCGCTGAAGTAAAATTTTAGCTAAATTTATTGGGAAAAATTTTATAAATAAAACCGGCTTAAAAGTATGCAATGCGATATTACAAAATTTTAAAGCATATAATAATCGGTTATTTTATCTGTTTCCAAAAATTGTTGTGGCAAAAAATTTGAAAAGAAAGAAAAAATTATAATGATCCTAAAAGTATGCAATAGATCTTCAATATTACAAAATTTTCAACAACACATTTTTATTGGTTTCTAATCAATTTTTTAGAAAAAATTTGAATAAACGTTTCACAAAAAACACGGCAGTATAAGTAGCCTAAATGTATGCAATGCATTTTCGGCAAAATAAAATTTTAAACACATAATATTTTTATAGGTTTCTAATTCTAAATAAATTGGTTGTAATCATTTGCAATTAATGACAAATTTTCGCTCAACGCCTAAAGATATGCTATGAAATGCTA